CTCATTTCCAGACTCAGGCATTTTGTGAATGAAGGCGATATTTCAGTTAAAATACATTAGTAAAAATATTTATCTGAGTATAATACTACCCTCCCCCCAACTTTATGGATGATTTTATGGATTAAATTTTACGTATTATACTTGAATAAATAGGGTACATTTGAACTAAACAATAAACGTGCAATTATTTTTTATTTTCAAGAAAAAGCTGCAAGACATTTGGACTCTATCAACAARCGTTGAAAGGCTACAAAGCTTGTTCCGTTCCATCTACAACTGATTCAGTAAGATCCAATTTAAAGTTGTTTTTTTTTTGTAAAGTTGTCTGTCCACCTTTGAGTTTTAGTAGTATTTTATAGGGGTGTAATAGTACATCGATTCTGTAAATCGATTAAATYACATCAAGGCAAAACGAAAACATTGATCTGTATCGTCATTATGCCCGATGTGGACATATACCCATCTATCGTCAATAAATGATCATATCAATTAGACTTGTGAATTAATTGAAATCGTACCATGACACACTTTGTGATGTGAAGAAACATCARATTATCATCGGCATATTGTATCATAATAAAGCTGCTGATTGACACCCTTTGTTTTTTAATACTTTTAAATCATAGTTGAGATTTACAGAAGAARCTTAATACAGGAAAATAAATCCTTTGAAAATGCTCAGGTACTAAACTTAAAATTTTATTTGTAAATGAGCAAAAATGTGGCCGTTATTTTAAAAAAGAAGAAGCTTTAAAAGACCTCAAAACAAACATCTGGCTTAAAGAGTTGAAGGATGACTCAAGACTTGCACAGTGCTTCTTATTGCTTCCCATTATTGTTTTCAGTTTATTTAAAAAGAAACAACAAAATCTGATTCTGGAGCACAGGGTGCTAAACATTTATTAAGTTGTAACCAACATTTCTGTTCTCATAACAAAACAAGACATCTGYAAGTTTTCAAGTCTTTCTTCAGCTTTTAAAACTAATTAATTCAGTCCGATGAATAAAATGCATCAATTGTGTTACCATTTTTTGTTATTGCTAAACTACAAATGATGAAGTTCTTGGCCTCAAACTTGTGGACGTTAGCGAGTATTGACATCAGGTTATTCAAAGAGTTCCTTGAGTCTTTGATTTGATCCAGTCCAGGAAGTGAGTGACTCGTGCGTAAACACCAGGCTTGTTCTTTCTCCCACACTGGTCTCCCCAACTCACCACACCATAAACAACATGGCTGTTATTCTGCTTGCAGGTCAGAGGTCCTCCAGAATCCCCCTGAAATAAAACAAACGCATTATTTACCCAACCTTACTCCGACTTTTATAAAACCATTGATGCTGTGTTTTCACTACAACGTAAGAAAAGCATCTCCMTGTGGGACTAACCTGGCAGGAGTCCACCCCGCCCTGCAGGTGGCCAGCACAGAACATGGTGATGTCCAGGACAGATCCATAGACCTTCCCTTCAGAACATTTCTCCTGGCTGATCAGCAGAACGTTGGCRTCCAACAGGTGATTGGAACCATAAAGTGCTAAAGAAACAAAGCACGTTTGTTTAAGGCTTTGGCACGCAATATGATGAGCAACATGCATTCCTTCAAGGAGTGCTAGTTTTTTTATTCTAAACAAGACTTTGGGAGAAGTCAAATTGCATGGATACAAATTATTTTCATTTTGCAGTAGGCCTTACATTCCTCTGTGGTACCCCATCCAGAAATGGTGCAATCCATTCCGTCWGGGAGCTGTGCGTCAGGAAGACAGGCTGTCTTTACAAACTGTGTCTCACTGGCACAAAATCCTTTTGTTCCTTTGAGTCTCAACAGGGCTTTGAAAAGAAAAGCAGTTAAAAAATGGACAAAAACAGAGTTAAAGTCTTGGTTTCATGGAGAGTTGTGTAGAATTACCTATGTCGTTGTAAACAGCTTCAGGCGTTTCCCTGTAGTTCTCGTGCCGAATAGCCTGCACAACTTCAATGCTTTGAGCTCCGGGATCCAACTTGTCCAGGGACAGGGTTCCCAATACCACCTGCAAGTCCTTGTTTTGATTGCTGTGAAAGAAACAAGCAAGACAGTTTGGTGAATATGTCTAAAACTGGTTGCTTTTTCTTATTTGTGGTTGCAGAGGCAACAGGTCCAGGAGGAAAACCCGGCAACACAATCCGTGTTCTGGGGAATTCTAAGGCATTCCAAGGCCAGAGAAAATACACAAGRTATTCATCGAATTCTGGATCCACCCCAGTGCCTCGGAAACCTCCACAGGTGGGTGCCCAGGAGGCATCCTATTCAAATCCCAAAATCCACCTCAGCTGTCTCCTAATGAGGAGGAGCAGGGGCTCTGAGTTCCTCCTGAATGATGGAGCCCCTGAGCTTATTTCCAAGGCTGACCCTGAGATCTCTAATCCTGACCCCCTTCTCTTTACCATTGCGCCTTGAGATACCAGATATCACTTGAAAGCAACCTGATACTCCCTCAGCTCTCTTCTACAGATACAGAAAACAATCATAATTCTTCTTCAGATCCACAAAACCAAAATTGCATCTACGATGCTTACATGCAGTGTCCAGCCGTCAGAACCCAGCAGCTGGAGATAAGAACTCCTCCACAGACGTGTCTGTATGGCAGCTGGGAGTTCTTTGGTTTCTCCTGCAGAGACACCTGCCAGGGTTTCGCCCCTGGACTGACCTTCAGCCCCCCGTAGATTCGGGTCAGGGCCTTCTTTGGCTGAGGCTGGCCACAGGTTAGAAACTGTAGAGGTGCGGGGGTACCACTGGCGATAGTGGGGGCTTCTGTGGCTGTGGTGATAGTCTGTGGAACCTTGGTGACATCAGGCGGTGTTGTGACAACTTGTGGCGGCGTTGTGACAACTTGTGGCGGCGTTGTGACAACTTGTGGCGGCGTTGTGACAACTTGCGGAACCTTGGTGACATCAGGTGGCTTTGTGACAGGCTCGGTGGTCTTCGGTGATGGTGTGGTAGTCGATGGCGGCTTAGCGGAAGTGGGGTGAGGACCAGTGGGAACAACTTGAGTTGGCACTGCTTAAAACACACACAAAAACAGAAGTGTCAAAGCTGTGTTGACAAAATTTGAAAGTTGTTTGCAGTTTTAGAGCTGACTTGTTGGTTTAGGACACTTTGTCACGTCACAGTAATCCCAAAACAATCGTCGGCCTTTTCTGAAGAAACACCAGGGTTTTGGTTCTCCGTCTGGATTTCTACATTGTAAATAAAAAAGTATAATAAGCATCTGTTGGTAAGCGTTGGTTTATATGCATCCTTGTTTTCCTCTAACCTGCAGAAGTTGTGAGGACCAAGTCCYTCTTTGTCTTCGAAGGAGTTGAAGGGATTTATTCCATTTTCTAATATGAAGTGAGAGTTCCAGTAGAGACATTCATGGCCATCGTCTGTCTCACTTACATTTCCACGATACGACTCCCCATCATCCACATAACAGTCATTTGGACCTGGAAAAAAAACCCAGTAAACCACATAGGGGTATTTCGATGCTCATGCTGTGGCAACCTTCATAAAAATGCAAGCTTGCAGTCAAAAAGAAAAAATCAGTTGGTCCTCTGGATGGGTTCTTCTTTAGTGAAACGTTTCGTCTCTCCTCCAAGAGACTTCTTCAGTCTGATGAGTTTCAGGTGAACTCAGCCTTATAAGCACTGCCTCCACATGGACAAACAGGTTAGTCACATGCAAAAGAGGGCCATCGACTAACAATAGGCTTAACTGACTCTATTGTTCACAGAGGGTCATGTGCCCCATCACCTGACCCATGTCGTGTTATGTGTATGTAGTGAATGCAAGCGGGGGTTCAAGGTCCCATTGTTTTTGTCCCTCCTTCCCTCAAAAAAACAAGGGGACCTTGAACCCCCACTTGCATTCACTACATACACATAACACAACACGGGTCAGGTGATGGGGCACATGACCCTCTATAAACAATAGAGTCAATCAAGCCTATTGTTAGTCAATGGCCCTCTTTTGCATGTGACTAACCTGTTTGTCCATGTGGAGGTGGAGCTTATAAAGCTGAGTTTCACCTGAAACTCATCAGACTGAAGAAATCTCTTGGAGGAGAGATAAAACGTTTCACTAAAGAAGAACCCATCCAGAGGACCTGCTGATTTTTTTCTTTTTGATTTTTTTCTACCTGGATTACTGAGATGCATCAGGACACAAGCTTGCAGTACTTACCTACGCGACAGAAGCGACCTCTGAACCCTGCAGGGCACTCGCAGTCGAAATCATTTCCATCCCTGATGCACCGGCCTCCGTTTTTACATGGATTTGGATCACACACTGAAACTTTGGAGACAGAATCAGTTGGACCTGAACGTTTAAATCTCCTGTGCAACTTCCTGTGAGGATTCTGGGTTTATCTCTTACAGCGTTTGCAGTCCGGAGGCTGGAAGGGCCTCTTGCATTTGCACTCATAGAAGGGGCGAGTTGAAGTCAGGACACATTCACCGTGTCCACAGAGGCCACCCTTACAGATTCTTGGGCCTGAAATGACAACACAATTGGTCTATCACATCTGGCATGTGAAACTGGCATGTAATCACTCAAACATGTTCTTCCAACCTTTTTCACATTTTCTCCCCTGAAAAGGCTTGGGGCAGACGCATTTAAAACTTTTATGGCCTTTTTCTTTACACACGCCGTTGTTAAGACAAGGATTAGGGGTGCATCGGCCTGACAAATAAAAAGTATGACGTTAGCCACATTTTAAATAAATCATTCCCGTGCACGGTGACAAGATGAACCATCTCACCTGCCAGATCTTGAAGATCAAAAAGCCAGTCTAAATTAATGAGGTTGTCGTCGTCGTCGTCGTCGTCATCATCACTTCTGTCTTTGAAGACAACGTCTAAAACAACAAACATTTTAAAGACTCAAAATTTTTGACATCAATAATACAAAATAATATAATAAAAACTGAGGCACCAACCACGAATGATGTCCTCGAACCTTAGTTTTCCTGTCAAACGTACGCCATGTTTACCGTGTTCTTGATGTTCGTGCTTTGATTTATCTTTYGGTTTTGACTGAATAGAACAAAATAAATCCAAAATGTTAAATATGTGTCGAATTCCTAACTTTACATTTTAGGTCAGTGTTGCTGACTGGAACTATTCGGAACGTGCAAAATTACCCTTTRTGGTAGCAGGTTTGCATTAAAGTAATATAATAACAGTAAAGAACTTTATCCACATTGCTCAGCTGCAAATAAAAATCACAGATTTGAACAATAAATACGTACTTCAGCAGGAATAAGGATCGCTGCTAAGAAGAAGCAGAAGAAGAGCAGCTTTAGTTTCATGACAGCGGATCAGACCACATCAAGGAGAGAGAAATCAAGACTGCACCGTCCTGCAAAAAAGCGTGCACTTTTCTAACTATTTGTGCAACGATCACAACCTTTGAGACCGTAGGTTCCTCTGGGTTCACCTCGTGTTGCTCAGGCCGTTTTATCGATCGGTAACATTTACTCTTAAAAAGATTATTGGATTGTAATAAACGAAAATGCATCGAAACAGGTCAAAAGATAMGCAGAAGTGATCACTTTGTGTCGTTCTCAAAGCCTTTTTACATTAATAAGCATTATAGTTTATTTTTAATGAATCTGAACTCAGTTACAACACAAAAGAGCTCAGAGTGTGTTTGCAAAGAGCCCACTGTTTGTTTGAATAGACTTTGGATGGAAACACACTGGGTCCATCTGAGGTAACATCCAAAACAAAACTTGTGAAACTGTGACATGAAATAACTGTCACATCAGCAAATGTGCATTTTAGCTCATCTGGACTTACTTTAAATGAAAAAATCTGTTGGTTTATTTGAATACAGGCACAATAAAACTGTGCTCAATGAGAAAAACACYTTTGTTAGCAAGAGAATCTGAACAGGAAGTCTGTAAAAGTTATATTTATAAGTTTTGTCTTTATTTTATCCTGCAAAATCCACTTTTTTACCCCTTAAATGCATTTCGTTGTGGACTTGGAGTCTCTAGGAGGCAGAAAACTTTAATTTAGTTTCTCGTGGTGCTGCATAGATATCTTTATATTTTGTTTAGGTTTTATTTTTTTAACCAGTTCAGTTTTCTCTACTTTTTATTATTGAACAATAACTTCACAGTATTTGCTAAACAAGGTTCCTGTTGTGTGAAGCATCTCATTTGCACTTAAAGAGACAGCCCCAAAACGAGTTGCTCACCTCAGAACAGGGGGCTTGTGGAGCTACAAGAACCAGGAATTCAGACCAAACCATTGGAGTTCAACTTTATATAGAGGTAGACCCCAACTGAAGCATTTAAATAMGAYAAAGAAGGATTTAAAAGCATCATAGGTCCACTTTAAAATGCAATAAACCATTTACAGGTTAGCAGTGGGTTTCTGGAGTATTTACTCCACTTATCGTTATTTATTTGTTGGTTTACAACGTGGAATTCAAAAGGAAATTTAGGAGGATTTTAACTTCTTCTTCATAACATCCAGTTTAAAGGGGCAATTTTTTTTTCGTGAAACAATCAAGAAATAAGAGCAAAACAACAATTAAACCCCCAAAGTTAATTATTTACGGAGCATCTTTTGCAGCTCCGTGCTGCTCGGGTTCATAAATCTTTAAATCTGGAGGTTTCTTCCTGTTAAAAGGGAGTTTTTCCTCTCCACTGACACCACTGTGCTACTCGGGATGGAGACAGTAGCTGTGTTTCCATTGTAAATGTGCGCAAAACTTTGTTGATATCCTGTTAATGTCGAAAAACAGTTTCGCAACTGC